AGGTCAGTAGTTCAGCAGTTCGAGACCCGAGTGCCGCATGACAGAGTGAGCTCCCGTCTCTGGTTCCAGCTCCTGCCAAACTAGCAGTTCAAAAGCAAGAAATTGCAAGACGATAAATAGGTACCACTTCGGTGGGAAGGTAACAGCCAGGGGTCTTGTTGTAGAAAAAGAGCTGCCGGAGCTCATTAGCATAACTCATTAGCATAACTTATTTGCATATGCCACGCCCCCTGACATCACCGGAAGTGACAGAAGGCCACACCCCCTGACATCACCGGAAGTGTGTCAGAAGGCCCGGCTACTTACCCTCCTGCTTCATCCTCATTCCCAAACGGAATGAGGATCGAAGCAGAGGGCGGGGTAAAGAAGGGGGCGGGGCTTCACCACGTGACCGCCCCGCCCCCTAGAGGTTCTCTTCCGGAGCTCCGTACCTGAGAGCTCCCCCCCGACTAGAGCCCTGGTAACAGCGTTTCGTGTGCCTCGGCATCTAGTCATGCCAGCCACATGACCATGGAAAGTCTTCGAACAGCGCTGGCTCTTTGGCTTGGAAATGGAGATGAGCACTGCAGCCCTAGAATCGGATTCGACTGGCTTTCAAGCAAGGGAAACCTTTACCTTTACTTACTTGGCAATAACAACCTCTTTATCTTTTGTCTGTTAGCATTTTTCATGGGACAGCATGGCAGCTATGAAGGCAACCCAGAAGAAGGGCCAAGAGGGCTCCCAAATGGGTGCCACCAGCCATTTTATTGTCTGAGGAGGAGGATGGGCCCGCCTTGTGGTATCTGGAGGCCAAAATTACAGTGCTGGAAAGGACCAAAGTGGAGAAGCAGGAGCCAGGTGGTGAGGGCGCATCTAGTGAAGCTACCCCACCTAAATGCACCAGATCTGGGAAATGCGGCCCTCTTGTCGCGCAGCGCGTTCCCAGTTGAACCGGTAACTTTAGAACGTGTAGCACACCTTAGCAGAGTTCCGCTCACCAGCTGCTCCCAATAGCACACCACATAACACAGTCCAGTGGTTACTATTTACACGTAGTTTATTTGCAGATATATACAGCTCACAGACAGAGTGCTTCGCCAGCATCTCATTACAGGGAAGAAGAGACTATGCATAGGCACTCTGTTCATATATACATGGCATAGCCAATCAGCACTGTGCTGAGTCATGGTGACTTAGTTCTTGCCCAGACATGTACAAACAGGATCAGTCTGGTATAGTGTCACATGACATTCACCTGACAACTGCCAGTTAGATCAGGATCATCTAATGCTGAAGATTATATATTGACACCTCTATGCCAGGTTGGCCCAACTGCAGAAGTCCAAAGCAGCGTTCCCGCTAAGCTGAGTTAGTGTGAGCCAGCTCAGTTTTTTACCCTCCAGCTCACTGATTTCTGTCTTAGCTCAGGAAGGATGGCTCCAGAGCTAACTAATTTATGTAGTCGCCAAATCACTCACTCACAACTTTAATGCCAGTAGCTCACAAAGTAGAATTTTTGCTCACAAGGCTCTACAGCTTAGAGGGAGCATTGGTCTGAAGACAAGGTGGAATCGTTGCAGCAGGGCAGGTGTGGTGAGACCCCGGACTGTTACCCACACCAGGCATGCCTTTGGCACCCCTGTGGGGGGGCCCACACAACCCAGCAGCGGAACTGCCATACGCCTACATGGAGAGGTCTCTCCCCCTCGGAGACCACCTGCTGCAGGCCATGAAGATGAAGATCTGGAAGGGGGTTATGTGGAGATGGCATAACATAACACATAACACAGTCTCACTCCTCTTCAGGGATGTTGAAGTGAAAGCAAGTGTGGTGATTGACCCCAGGGAGTTAGAAAAAAATTAAGCACATGCAGATCAACAAGAATTTTGACAACTGGTTTTCGGCTTACACCATTTACATGGGAATGGTGATGCAGGTTCACCCTGGCCAGGGGCCAGCATTGGTAAAGTATCAGGACCTCATTCACAGGGCATATAAGGAATCAGGGGCCACTTGGCTGCATTTTGAATAGAGCAGGATGGGGACCTAGCCCCAATGTAAATCACTAGCCAGATGTGCTTCTGGGGGAAACATATAGATATTTTGCTTGACTTCAGTTTCTCCATATTATCACAGAATGGGTTCCTAAATCACAAACTCTGGCTGAAATCCTTTTTACTTAGAAGTAAGTCTCATTGATATAGAATCAATTTTTAATGGCAGGATTAGGCTGCAAATCTACTTGACTTGTGTGAGTCAATAGAAGCAATTCAGTCTGTATATGATGGCAGTTTGGAGATTTTCAGGCCTTTCTTTCCATGTATTTTTTACACTGGACTGCAGCAGGCATAACAGGATGTTTTTACCAATTTGAAGGTGGTTGTTGATGTTGATGTGGCTTGTCCCAAAGCAAAGGCTCCATCAAACTCCTCAATCTTCTCCTTGGGTTGCGTTGTGTGTGTTCCATTAATGCAGTCTTCAGGGGAAGTCTTGGTGATTCTGGGGCCCTGGGCAAAAGTCAACTATGGCCCCCCACACCCCCTCTATTCCTACCCAACCCACTCAGAACATGAATAAAAGGTCCAGTTTTCACACTGCCTGTGTCTTCAAAACTCAACTACTGTTTTTGACTCTATTTTCCAAAATCCATCAAAGCAATATACCAAACACTGAACTATTACTATAAAAATTAAACTATTATAATGGGGATAAAATAGCTTTTGTTTCTTGGGGCTGCCAGGGCCCAGGGGGTGGGAGGGAGAGATGGGAGTCACTGGCTCCAGCCGGCGTGGAAGCGACCTCTTGGCCGGGAATGGGCTGCCCCCAGCAGAGAAGCCCTGCAGGAAGAGACAGCCGTGGGCCAAAAATCAGAGCTTCCCAGTGTGAAATTTTCTCCCCCCTCCCCCCGCAGTGCACATGCCCGGGGGACGGGGTGGGGAAGGCAAGGGGAGGGGAGGGGAGGGGAGGGGGACAGCAGGGTGTTGAAATAAGGAGGTGACGGGGAAGGGATCCGTTCAGTTGGCTGTCTCCTGCCTTCCTTCCTCCCGCAAGGCACCTGTTTGCTCGCAGCCTCCCAGCCCGGTGGGGAAAGGGGAGACCGTCGTCCTGCCCTCCCATCTCCAGTACCTGGGTCTTGGCATCTTCCGCCTGCCTGACCGTGCCAGAATCTGCACTGGCCCCTCTAGAGACCTGGCTGATGCACTCACCCCTTGCTGTCATCTTCAGCCTGGGGCTGCTACTCCAAGCAGTTACTGCCATTGAAGGCCACCCCCCTCCCCTCCCCTCCCTGCTGTTAGCCCCTTTCCGGGAGGGGGTTGATGAAAATGGGCCTGGGTGTGAATAGGAGTGGTTCACTGATGGCATGGGTTGGGCTGGACACAACATTGGGGAATTTCAGATTACCCTTTTTAAGCCATTATTGTACCATTTTGGAGTAAACCGGTACAGGGGTGGCCATTTCACACAGCCTTTCCCCTACCAGTAAGGAGCCGTCTCTGAAGTGGTTTGGCATTTCAGACTACACCGCTTTGTTTTCCTGCCCTTTTCCACCCACACAAGCGAACTTCGTCTTTTTTAAAAAAATGTTCTTTTAAGAGCGCTATAGCGCTATAACTCAACACCAAAACAGCACAATAGTGACCCCATTGGAATACCTGGACTCCATTGAGATACATGATATTGGGGGATTTAAAAATAGGAAGTGTAAGCTCGGGAATGCACAGTTTGAGAGCATTTTTTTAAACACTAGCTCCTTCCCAGGTTGCAAATAGTATCCTCATTTTGATGGCCAGCATTTCAGGATGCCATGCCTCCAGGGGGGACCTGGGGATCCCCTGTACTTTCAGCCAGTGTTCCCTGTAAGATGAGTTAGTGTGAGCTGGCTCACAGTTTTTTTAGCCTCTGGCTCACATGTTTTTGTCTTAGCTCAGGAAGAACTGCTCCAGAGCAAACTAATTTATGCAGTAGCCAAATAACTTGCTCACAATTCTAATGCCAGTAGCTCACAAAGTGGAATTTTTGCTCACAGGACTCCACAGCTTAGAGAGAGAATTGCAGAGTTATAGCTTATCTCCTGCCTACAGACATCAGTTCCCAGGCATATAGCGAATGCTGTGGAAGGAGGACTCCATGGCATTGTACTCCATTGAAATCCCTGTTCTCCCCAGATGTGATCTCATGTACCTCAGTGGTCCAGGCATTCCAATGGGGTCACTATTGTGCTGTTTTGGTGTTGTGTTATAGCACTCTTAAAAGATTTTTTTTTTAAGACAGAGATTGCCCGCATGGGCGAAAAAGGGTGGGGAAAAATTGGAGGAAGCGCTATGGGGGCATTTTACCGGTGGGTGGGTGCAACGTATCTCACCACCCCCGCGGCAGGGATTCTGCAAAGAGATGCGATCCCCCACCGCGATTTGGTGAGACTTGGGAGCCCTATCCTAAGACCATCGAAAATTTGTGTTTTTTGAGAACCGCTGTTAGGAAACCCTTACTAAAAGGGTTCTGTCTGAAATGTCAGTACAGAAACCATTAGTGAACAGTTCCTGAAACGGAACATATCGCTGTCTGGAATTCCCCACTTTGCTGCCTTAACATGCCCAACTTCTCCATGTCTTTTCCCTCCCCGGCCCTTCTGGCTGATCACCCTGAGGCAGGCGGACTCACTTTGCTTAGGGGCCTGCCTGCTTCTGTTGGGAAAGCTGGGGGATATTGACACCCACATGGGCGCCGCTGCCTCCCTCCCCGCCAGCCGTGTTCTCCCATTTATCAAGGCCGGCAGTGTGAAAGGGCATGGAGGTGGCTCGCTGGTGGGAGGGGGCTGGCTGTGGGGTGTCTCTGGGTGAGTTTGATTGGCATAGCTCCCCTCCCTCCCTCCCTGCCTCCTGTAAGTCAGCCAGCGCAGAGATCAGGTTTCTCCTCTGTCACAGGAACTGCCTCCTTCTCCTTCGCAGGCAGGAAGAGAGTCCAGTCTCTCCTAATCTGCAGCTGGTGTTGGAGGAAGGCAAGGCAAGCTCAGCTCTGGAGAAAGTCACTTGCTCCTCTTTGCAAATGGCATTTTAACTTCTTTGCATGGTTGGATTCTTCTCCCCCTCCTCCCGCCGCTCTTTGATGAGGCTTGTCACCCTGCTTGTTTCTGCAAGATTCCACGGTCTGTCAGCTGTGAGCAATTAATTATGGTGATGTGGTGGTGTTTCTTTTGGCCTTTGTTAGCTCTGGCTCTTAAGGGGGGGGGTTGTGGCATTCCTTTCCCCAGGAAAGTTTGGGAAGGAAGTCGTAATCCAGGTAAATCCAGGTAAATCTCATCTTTCATAAAGAGAGTGAGCATTCTGGCTTCAACCAGGAAGGAAAGCAAGCTTCATAGCCATCCCTGCAGTTTCCAGTCCTGACAGTGTGTGCAACTTTTGTTTTGTTTTTGTTTTTCCTCCTTTCACTTCCTTTGAGATTTGCAGAATGTTTCCTCTGTGCCTGAAGGATCACTGTAAATTTAGTTTAACCTGACTTTTCAAAAAGGGTCATGCTGGCTAATAGCTTAAACAATATCAGTAATCATGTTCCAAACTCTGCTGTATACCCAATGGTATCCACAGTCTTACAATGCACTTTATCTCCTTGCAGGTCCTCCCTAGAATTTTTTTTTTAAAGGTGTTTGGCATGCAGTGTCCAGAAGGCCATTCCATCAGACAGGAGCAAGAGCCCCCAAAGCCCAGTTTGTTCCACCTCACAGGGCTCTACCCTGAGGGAGAAACAGTGTAAGGAGTGCTGGGTGAACTGAAGTTGGCTCGTACTAGGAAAGCTTGTGAACAGAGAATCCTGCAGATCTGTTTTCTTTTCTTATTTTAAAGTAGCCTAATTGATTTCCAGTGAAGCTTAAAATGATGGGGCTTAGGTATGAAAGTTCAAACTAAAGGGGATGCAGTTTAAGACTCTCTTTTCTTCTCCTGTGATTGCTGTTTCTCCACTATCCTTTTACCCTCCACCTTGCTATCTATGTGCAGGTTCCATGCCTTTCCCCTCATCTGTCCTATTACTTTGCCACCCATTTTACATTCTTTACAAAATGCCAGATGGCTTGTATATCTGAGATCTGCAAGTAGAATATAGATGCTAGCAGTGGAATTCTAAGCAGAATTACACCATTCTAAGTCGATTAACTTTAGTGGGTTTAGAAGGGTGTGACTGTTATGATCGTACTGCGATCCCCCCTCCTCACAACACACAGGTGTACAAACAAGAGCCTCCCAGTCTTAAGAATGTGTAAAGACATGCATATGGTGTGCAACAAACCTCCATCACTCTTAAAAACCCAGGGTTTCCCTCCCCCCCCAGGATACTTAGGCTTCCTGGGTATTATTATTATTTTTTAAAATCTGTGAAGGGTATGTGTGTGCACAGACTACACTGATCTGCTTGGGGTTTCTTCTTAAAATGAGAGATATTTTTAAACCATATACCTAATATGTTTTAAAATATTCTAATTTTTAAAAAATGAAATTAGAAAATGTGCATTAGATGCTTTTAAAATATTATCTACAAGCCACCTTTGGTTGAAGTACTAGGAATGCGTACTGGAAAATGTTATAGTACTCAGTGGGGCCTTAGTTGAGAGCAAATGGATACAGGATTGGGAATTAGTTGTCTTATGTAGTAGCCATCAGCTTGGCTGAGCAGCTTGTTGATCATGAACCTCATTTCAACATCACAATTAACAGCATTTTTCAAAATGCTTTGTGATTTGTGTTTTCCTGTTTGAGAGAGAAAATCAGAAATTGTATTATTTGTTTTCACAATTAAAAAAATAAATTAGCAAAGTAACATGGGGTGTGGCCTAATATGCTAATGAGCTGTATTGTCATGGGTGTGGCCTAATATGCTAATGAGTTCCTGCTGGGCTTTTTCTACAAAAATAGCCCTGGTTACCTCCTTTCAGCCGCGAGCCTGGTTTCCGCCTGCTGTTGTCCTGGGGTATTTCGATGTTCTTTTGCTGTGGAGTTAGGGCGATTCTGCTACTACCATTCCCTCCGTATTTTCTCAACTGGGAGGGAAAAGTGCAGCTCAAAACCACATTCAAATACTCCAGGCCAACGCTATACTGACTGCAAAGTCACCCCTGAACAGCCATAAAACAGCCATAAATCTATGATCCGATGATCAAAGGAAGAGAAAGTAGCATGGAATGCAGAGGAAAATTTCTATTCCAATGTGAGTTAGTAAAACAATGGAGGGGAAAGGCAATGCAGAATCAGCCTTAAATTTCCTTGATTCGAACACTGAGAAAATCTGTCCTACTGTGTCAGATTTGGAAGTTGGTTGGAAAGTAAAGCTTACAGATAAGCCAGTCTTCAGCGCTTGCTCCAGTGTAGTAGGTGATTTTTGTCACAGTGGTGGGAATGATGTTTGCGAATAGCAGCTTATGCAATATTTTATGAAGGTGTAGTCCATAGTTCAAAGATCTGATTGTATCCTGGAAAAAGGCTAAGTTCAGGTCAGCTCTGCAGGTACTGTAAATAGTTTGCCTCACTTGAGGCACTGAGAGATAATCTTTGTTATTAAGCTAGAATACTCTGAGGAGCAGAAGGGGAGCAGATCTCCAGGACTGAAAGCCTCTCCGAAGGTAAGGACAGTAAAGAAAGCGTTCTAGGGCTGCATCTGCATGGCCAAGATGCTCTGTTTCTCTGTTGTTGCTGCTGCTGCCGCTGAGGCATTTGCAGTATCAGCACTGCGTGGGAGTTTTGTGTGTCCCTTTGTCTGGACCTCTGCACCAAAAAGTGCCTGGGACTTCAATGCAAGCTGGGAAATCATGGCAACCTGGGAGATCGTGGCAATAGATTGTTATAACATTATAATGCTGTAACCCGATCGCCACTGCCAGTTTTTGAAAGCCTTTTCACAAAGCCCCCTGGTGGTGCAGGGTGTGTGTGTGTGTGGCCATAAAAGGGGGGTGGGTGAGGCAAGGAAAGTGGCGCCAGTGTGGGCAGGACCTTCAAAAACATGAGCCTTCCCATCTATACGGCTGGGACCTTTCCAGAAAGATCAGCTCAAGCCAGATTGGTGAAAAACTGGAGCAAAGCAGGGAAGAGCCCAGTATGGGGATGATTAGGGTGCAAAGTCACGTGGGTGCTCCGAAACCTCCACCTGAAAAGCAATCTAGGTCACAAAGGGTTTGCATATATAGCGCAAAAGGAAAACAATTAGCAAACATTTCTTTTGTCAAAAGTATTGCCAGAGTTTGAGTTTGGTGATTAAATATATAGGAAAATACAGAGGAGATGTATATATAGATACAGACATAGATATAAAATATATGGGGGGGGAGTCAAAAAGGCACCCTAGACTGCAGTCATGCACACTAAATAATCCACTTTCAATGCCCATTCCAACTGGATTTTGCCAGTTCACACAGTAAAATCCAGTTGGAAAGTGCACTGAAAGTGGATTATTTAGTGTGTGTGACCACACCCCTAGACAGAGTTTCCCTAATAACAAAGAACTTCTAAATTCACTTAAGTGGAGAAGGGAGTTCTGCTTGCTTGTATATTTATTTTCTTTTAAAGCAAAACTTTACTGAACATTTTAAAATGACAGAATATCTTTACACACAAATGGATGGTCTACCTGTTATTTAGCCCCTCAAGTGGCATGAATAAGGAAGCTATTATGAACTGAGATCGAGGCAGCTCTTAAACAAGTGATTTCATTTTATTCAGCTCATAACAACACTAGACAACGTACATAGAACAAGACTGACTTATATATGATTTGAACGGGCAAAACCACACCCCACAAACAGATAACAACCTATTGGAATACGTAGCTTCAAGCCAATGAGATTGTTTCCCACCGAAGTCAAAAGCTTCTTTGATTGGTCTATATGTCAATCCATGTAATGCTAAGTTATACTGGAACTGTGCTTAAGTTAAATCATGCTTTATTGACTTAATACATAACACCCCTCCCCCCTAAGTCAGCACCCATAGTCATGTAATTTTGCGGGCCGAGTCCTTACGCGTTGTGAGTGCCTCGGCCCCACCACATGGCTGATGTCTCTTGGACCAATGTCCCAGGGTATGACTGGACAGTGAGTGCTGGAAGTTCCTGGCTCAATGGGCAGCGCCAGTGTCTGAAAAGTCTCAGGCCCTATGTCAGAGAAGTTCTTGCGCCTGGTATTGGGAGAGTTCTTGCCCCCTGTGCCAACAGGTGGCGCTGCTGATGTTGGCCCCACCTCTGATGGTATCTGGGGAGCGATGCCATTGTCACAGTTCTCTCTCTGGTTGTCTGGGTCCTCTGTCTCTGCCTCTCAAACCCAACGCCTCTGGAGCTGATCAAGGTGCCTGCACAGATTCTGCCCCTCAGCAGTGGAAACTAAGTATGACACTGGTCCGGTGCTAGCTGTCATGGTTGCTTCCACCCACAATGGACCGTCGCTGTAGTTGCCAGGCTGGAACAAGCGAATGGGGAGCCTGTCGTTGTGGCGGCCGGTCAGCCATGAGGTCGGGGTGCAGGCGGTCCAATACGGTTGTCAAGTGATGGTGCATCAGGAGTGTGGCGTAATATGTTGCTGAAGCAAGAAATCAGCCATTTTCAACGCGTCCTTGGTTGTACAGACCATTCGTTCAGCTTGTCCATAGGTGGACGGATGGAACGGGGCAACTGTGATGTGCCTAATCGAGTTGGCCTCCATAAACTGCTGGAACTCAGCCAAGGTAAATTGAGTCCCGTTATCGGACATGATGGTCTCAGGCAGTCCATGTGTACTGAATATGCGGCGGAGAGCTCTAATGACTGAGGCCGAAGTCATAACGGACATCGTGGCCACCTCCAGCCATTTGGAAAAGGAGTCCACTATGATCAGGAACGTTTTACCTTGGAAAGGTCCCTCACAATCGATGTGCAGTCGGGACCAGGGCATTCGGATAGTCTCCCATCTTTGCACTGGTGCCTGCAGTGGCTCCGGATGTGTCTCTTGACAGGCTCGGCATGTATGGACCCATGTCCTGGTCTAAGCGTGACCACCACACATAACTGCGGCTCAATGCCTTCATGTGCACCAAACCTGGATGACCAGCGTACAGCGCCTCTAGCACTCGATGCCAGAGTCTTGGGAGAACAACCATGTGATTTCCCCACAGGAGGCAACCTTTATGCACTGACAGTTCGTGTTGCCGTGATTTGTACACTGTAAACCTTGCACTCCAGCTGGCCATCCCCTCCACACCCAGTTCAGGACGTGGGCGATGGTGGGGCCCTTGGCAGACTGGGCCACGACATCGGATGCGTGAAATGGAGGCTGCAGCAACTCTTCAAGGTCCATCACCTCATATGCTGGGGCAGGATCCTCGGCCGGGACTCGAAGCAGCAGTCTGCTGAGTGCATCAGCATGTCCAGTGGCTTTACCTGGCCTGTGTATCAGCTCGTACATGTGTTGCCATGCAAGCCTATCAATGTGTTTTTAAGAAATATGAATTGTGCAAAGGGACTGTACAGCATAGAGACCTGAGAATACCTGTTGAGACTCTAGCTCTCAATATTGACCACTCCTTAGTCCCCCTCCCCTCTTCCAGCCAGCCAATAGTATGTTTTATCGGACGGACTAACAGAAGGTGTCACAGGGGGATGTGGCCAGCCTGGCCAGCCCACCCACACCACATTATAAAAGATGCTGCCTGACCACATGGTCTCTCTCTTACCCTCTCCACGACCCCTATCAAAGCTTTAACCCTCTTATGTCCAGCTTGCTATCCACATACCCTACCTCCATCTTTAACCTGTAGTCTGCAGCTAGAGTCCACGTGGTTCTGCTGGTTCAGAGCATGTGTTCCCCATATTCTACTTCTAAACCCCTCTATTCTTCCACTGGAATGGCTCAACCAATGAGGACAGGTAAATATATCCCAACCAACGAGTGTCCTGCTATTGCAACTGTGTTAAGGATCTATCTTTATTTCTTAGTATAAGTATAAATGTGTGTATGTTTGTGTATTGTTTGAATGATACATATCCTTCAGTAAAAATACATTATATTTTACTGAATACAGTCTCTATGTCTGTTCTGATACTTACAGCCAAGGTGGGACTTCTGTATACATTGGTGTGAATCCTAATTTGCCTATTGCCAATTACTAATCATAACCTCCCCTAGACTAATTAAGAATTCAAGGCAATTTGGCTAACACATGTATGCTGACAGGAACACCAACCAACAAAGCATTTGAGGGGACATGACTTGTGGAGTTTGATGGCTTGGCACAAATAGTCCCAACAGCGACTTGTGATCAGTAATGATCTTGAAATGGTGGCCATACACAAAATCATGAAATTTCTTGACGCCCGCAACCAGGGCGAGTGCCTCTTTCTTGATCTGTGCATAGTTTCTTTCACAGCAGGAGCCAGAGTCCTTGAAAAGTATGCAACAGGGGCTTCTCTACCATCTGGTAACCAATGACTCAGAACAGCCCCAATCCCATTGGGCGAAGCGTCAGTAGTAAGTATTAGCGGCAGTCTCATTGAAATGCATAAGGACAGATCTGGACGAAAGTAAGTCCTTGACAGTGGCAAATGCTCAGGCATGACTTGGGCCCCAGCTCCACGGAGACTTTTTCTCCAGCAGATGATGCAGCGGTTCCATCACTGATGCTTTATGCAGCAGGAAGGCGTGATAGAAGTTGAGGAGTCCCAGAAACTATTGGAGCATCTTCTTTGATGTAGGCGTTGGGGCATTGTGGATTGCCTGGACTTTGTTGTCAGTCGGGTGGACATTGTCAGCATCAATCAGGAACCTTAGAAACTTGACCCGATGTACCCCAATCTGGCATTTTTCGTGCTTTACCTTTAGACCCACCTCCTGGAACCGTTGGAGGACCTGACGAAGGCGCGCACGCAACGCTTTGTTTGATTCGCTGGCGATCAAAATGTTATCGAAGTAGGAAACAACTCTGGGAATATTACACAGGATACCTTCCATAAGGCCTTGGAAAAGTCTCAGGGCCACACTGACCCTGAACTGTGAGCGGTTGACTTTGAAAGCCCCTCGATGCATTGTGATTGTTTGGGCTTCCACTGTTTCAGGGGTGACAGGCAGCTGCTGGTAGGCCTGCACAAGATCAAGCTTGGTGAAGACCTTGCCTATGGCCAATGAGGTCAAGATGTGACTTACAATTGGAGTATTGCTGCAAAGCCCTATTAATTGTGCAGTTATAGTCTGCACAAATTCGTACGGATCTGTCAGGCTTGACCGGCATCACTATAGGTGTTTCCCACCTTGCATGTGAGACGGTCTCCAACACTCCCTGTGCAATAAGGTGATCGAGCTCCTCATCGATCCTGGCCTTCATAGCAAATGCCACCCGCCATGATTTCAGGTGAACCGGCATGACGTTTGGGTTGAGGTGATATAAATGATATAAATGGAGACGAGGCTGATATCTTAAAATCAAGTTGTTCTTTTTACTGAGTAATAATATTTAGTTCGCATACATACAAAAACAGAGTCACACACACAATCGTACAAGTTCCTCAGAGTTACAGGAATAGGAAATAGTCACTTTTGTACTAAAGGATGGGGGGGAAGTAGCAAATACTTAGCTGATCCGAAGCTTGACCCTCTCAATGAAGAAT